CTACAAAGTTTGGGTGGTCATGGACTGTGTTGCCCCTTCTAGCAACCACTCCTTGGGTTAAGAAGGGTATCGTGTCTTATTCGTTGAGCCTGGGTGGCCACGTACTCTTCACGCCCTCTTTCAGGCTGATGGAACTCAGCTCTTCATTTTCCATGCAACCCTTCCATAACCAGGTGACTCTCCCTGTTAGTCTATGACAGAGGCTACACACCACATGCAAGGTCAAAGCTCAGCCGCTTCCTGGGGTTCAATTTCACTAAGAAACAAATTAACAATGAAACAATCAACTCCCAAGACTCAGCTAAACCCATCTCCTCATCTTACTGCAACAGAAACCCAATCTCCCTCTGCCAGGGCAGCCAAACTCTGAACTTTGCTTCCTCCTCTTAATTACCTCCAGCTGTTGGTCCCTCCCTCTAGGCCTCATGTTGCTGGCAGGTGCTATGGGGTGTGGCAAACTTCATCCCCACATCCAGGACACTGTTAACTACCGCCTTCCTCAGTGCTTTGTTCTACTGACATGCCCTAATTTATATTAGTGGTTTGTGTTTTTCATTGCCTTGAAGGGTGCAGTGCCATGGTCTGTGACCTTATTTAAAAGACAATGAAAAACCGCAGCCTTCCTGGTTGCAAAGGTAAGTGGAAGAGTGACTGCCAAGGCAATGCTTGAGAGTCCTTGGGCAATATGATGTGGCAACTCTGGGGGATGTAACCTGTTTATCTCATTGATGTTTATATACCCAGCCTACACACATGGCATAGTGTGTAGTAGAGAAGTATGCAGTAAACCAAAGCAAACTTCCCCAAGAAGCCGTATCTTAGTCATTTTGATAAATTGTAGGAGGCTGTTTGGTTCTAGCTCTTGTCTTTCCAGTGGCAGATCAGACCTCTGCTACCTTCTTCTCTGCTCATGAGATGAAAATGACATTTTCTTCTCATTGAGTGAAAAGTGAATCACGCTAGCAGTGGAACTCCAGGTCCCTGTGTCAGTGAATCTAGGCTCCCATGCTGACCTTTTCCAGCTCTGATTTTTTAACTGTGCAAATTCAATTGAACACATCATAGTGGTAGGAATGAGGTCCGAAGTAGTATCTTTTATGAGATGCAGTTGGAAAAAGTGGGTAGTTTCGGTCAATTACTTTTTTCACCAATTTGTTCCACCTAAATGGTTTGCCTGTTCTCTTGGTTATGACAGGTGGTCTAATACCAGACATTACTTCTCCCTACAGGCCTTGCCACTTTTATATCCCAAAACTATTCTTGCTACAACTATAATCATGTTATTATTCACAGCTGTCACAAAAGTGAAAAGAAAGTCCCCTGCAGCCCTGAATGCATAGATAAGCTGGCTTATAGCTAGTCAGTTAAAAAAAAAAACAACCTGAAACCACACCCACATCACAAAACCACCAGAAACCTTGACTGGAAGCAAGTATGTTTTGAATTCATTGTCGAAACAAGATCTAACATATTTCTAGGCTTATAATATGTTCCTGAGAAACATATAAATTACTAAAATACTGAGGACATTGCCAAAAACTGCTAGAAATATTTTCAGCAATTTTGGCTTCTTTTGCTCACTGTAGCTGAAAAGCATCTTCCAGAAAGCACCTGTTTGATGATGCTGTTTCCTACCAAACTACTGGTGATGAACGAGAACTGTCAACATAAAAATCCTAGGAGATATGCAAATTCATGAGAGAAAAATGTTAACACTTCTAATTAAAACCAGAATAGTAATGACATCTTTCGTTTAAAAGAAAATGAGCACGGACTATTATGTTTCTTGACTTCCAATAATGCAGTATTGGGGGTTGCCACAATGGATGGAATAATGTTTTATTTCACATTTAGATAAGGAGAGGAAATCGACAAACAGAAAAAAGAAATGATGTGATCAGGAGTAACTGCAATATATTTGTGATATGGACCTGTTTCAAAGAAAGATGTGGAATTTCCCAACTGCAAAAAAACCCAAACAAAAACCATTTATGCTTCCTGCCACCAAGGCAACTTAGGGAGCACTTTTATTTGTGTAACTTTCACAGATACTATACGTAACAAAGCCACAGCAACTAGATTTCAGTTGTGTAATATATTTCTAATAGACCTCTTACAAGTGGAAAAGCCACAGAAAATTGCATGCTTACTCAATAGCTGTGTATTAGGAAAATTTCTTGTGTTGACCCAATTCGAATTGAATGTGGTTTCATTTGAAAAAAGTGAAATCCAAAGGGAAATATTTAGGCTTGGAAGAATTCTGCCTAACAGTCTCATACATTTGATAGCTGTAAATACAGGTGTTCCAAAATACAAAGATTTGGGAGAAAGATGATATACAAAATTCTCCAAGACAAGGCAAGGTCTCCCAGTTCATCAAAACTTGCCAACTGCACATTCTATGTTTTCTAAAATATTCTAAGAATTATCATGAATGCTGTTTGGATTAATAACTAGAAACTTTATATAATAGAGAGCCAACTTATGAGCTGGCAGGAAAACAAATGTGAAGATAATGATTAAGCTGTATACAAAAAATAGTACATCCATAAAATAAGTATCTGGCTACGGGAAAGTGTTGCTTGTGTGCTTGCTGTGGTAACATGTTGTGTCTACACTAATAGCAAATGCACAAATTTCTCTTTTAAGTTGTAAAGTTATAGGGATTGTGGCTTTTTGTTTTGTGTTGTGTCAAGCTGTGAACCTAGACCCTGTAATGCTTGAATCTTTTCAGCTAAACTTTGAATGACCTTGTACTTGGAAAATGTTTTTAAATCCCATTTAGTCATTATAGTTGTTTAGCAGTTAATCCAAGTATATTGTTTTTTAAGTAAGGTTAGCTTCTTGTTGCCCACGTGTAATAGGGAACAAACGGTCAAGGGGACAATGATAAAAATATTAGGAAACAGATGAAAAGTAAAAAAGATGGTTATTAAAAGGTGGGGATGTGGAAAAAGTGAAGGCTACATACTACATAATGACTAGATAATTTAAGGGAAAAAAGAATTAAAAAAACCTCAAAACAAAGAAAAAGGTAAAAATGTAAACATTTTAGAATTATGACAGGATGGTCATTATGATTAAATGTACATATAATAACACACAAAGATAAATAATTGAAAGTGTAAGATCATGAATATGAGATGATACAATATACAAGGAGCAATGAACAACAATCAAAATTATAAAGGATGCTCTAAGGAGAGGCATAGTATTGATCAGGTAATGGTTGAATCTCCTTAAATCTCCACATAACTGGACAGAGAATACTCAGATGTGGTCTCTTACCTCTAAATTTACATTCGTAACTGCGCAGATAATAATTGCAGTCATAATAAAAATATTTTTATGTAAAATTATATAAAAACTTATTTTGGCCTTGAGTAGCGTAGTCACTTTCTTCTTCTGAGAAGGGACTCTAGAGCTCCACATGCTGCAAAAACAACTTTCATAGGCAAAGCCATCACCAAGGATGCTGGAATCTTTTTGTCAGGGCCACAGGTGGAAGGATTAGACATTTTAATATATGTTATAATTCACATGGTATGTAAACCTCCTTTGCTTCTCTGCATGCACACACAGTAAGAATTTTATTTCTTGTCATATTGGTACATTCAGGGCAACTTTTCCAAAATCTGTGCAAAAGTGACAACGGAGGGGAAAAGAAAACATGCTTCTGTGTAAAAACATGTATGATATTCCTATAGCAAGATACTGACATTGGTGAAACGCAATTCAGTTGGTGCTTATTTCCAGGCTAAAAAAAAATATCCTGACCTCACATTTCAACTTCTTTCTTCGTGTGTTTGGGAACAATTCTAGTCTTTTTATGAGTATTTTTCTTCCCATGTAGGCTACAGGAAACATGCAAAGATTTGCTTTGGCAACACCGTTAAACCTTTTCTTTCAAAACCAAGTACTCTGTGTATCCTGATCTTAAATCCAGTACATTTATGTAGCAGCACCAGCTCAAATATTTCATGCACTGTAACAGTTAGATCTTCCACACCTTTCTTAGCTTTCAGTTGTAGGCTCTCAAATCCAACTCTGGAAATAATAAATCTGAATAATCTTCCTGTGTGAGAGACAGTTTGGCTGCTTGTGCTTCCTAAAGCACTATGAAGACCTACTCTAAAACCAGGTTTCTGATTCTTGTCCAGCAAATGTTAGTACCTAATTCAGAGAAAAGAAAAGAAAAAGTCCAAAAAGGCATGCTACATCTTACTAAGCTAGAATATGCCGGAGCCTCAGTACCCCACAGCAGAACACCCATAGATATTTGAACAGTTCATATGCAAATCTGTAGTATCACAACAGAGATGTGAGACAACCCTAGGTGTTCCGACGGCTCAAGAAGGGCAGAAATCTGCTGGATTCCGAGGATTTGCAAAATCCTGCGCTCAGCACCTTGGCTAGGCAGTAGCTGTTCCTATATCGTGAGGAAAAAATAAGGCTGAAATACCACCCTCGGCAGGTGCTCACACAGCTTGCCCTTCCAAGGTGCCAGCCCCTGCCAGTGAAGAGCATACTGCTTTTATATCCCCTACACCGAGATCGAGCACCCAGTCGTCCCTGCGTGCGGCACTCAGGGACACAAGGACGGCCGTTAAAACCAACGGCTCCCCGCGCTGCCGCAGCGGCCGCGGCTCGCGCGGGAAGCAGGCGGCGCCTCAGGCACGGCGCACGCGCGGCCCTGCCGCTCGGGCGGGCAAATTCAAACCTGCCTCTCGCCCCTTCTCTTTGTCGGGGTAGCAGTTGCGCTGACGTCATTGCACCGCGTCCTCCTTCCCTGCGGTTTCCGGCGCTCGCCCGCGCGGTAAGTGCAGCTGAGAGGGGGAAAGTTTTCGTTTGTGTGGTTCACAGCACCGTTTCTCTCCCCTTTCCCTCAGGAGCGGGCGGGCGAGCGAGGGCTTTCCGCACCCCCTCCGCCAGGCACGGACCCTCTTCTCTCCTCGCCGCCCCTGCGTAGGGGGCGAGAGGCTTCCACCACGACGCCGGCGATGGCTTCGGGGCGCGCGGAGGCGGCGGCACCGCGGGTGGCAGAGCTGGAGGAAGAGCTGCGGAGTCTGGCGGAGGAGCTGGGCCGCTGCCAGGTACCTGAGAGCGGGGCCGTCCCCTCCGGGCGCGGCGGGGGGGGGGGGCCCCCCGGGGCGGGGGGGGGGGGGGCGCTCCTTTCGTGTGGCAGCAGTCGCTGGACGTTCGCCGTGGGGGCCGGGCGCGGAGGGGCACCCCGGAGCGGCGCGGCGGGCGGGCACGTCCCGCCCTCCGCCCTCGGCCCGTGGGGGCGCGGCGGTGAGGGGCACCCCGGAGCGGCGCGGCTGGGATCGGGCGGGCACGTCCCGCCCTCCGGGAGGCCTCTCCTGCCCACAGCTCGGAAGCGCTCCGTCCCTCATGGGGACACGCGTTCGCGTCCCGGTTCCGTCGGACCCGGAGGGCAAGGGGGGGAGTAGGGCCCCGGGCGCCCGGCCGTGTGGGGTAGGAGAGCCGGGTGGCCGCCGCGGCGGGGGCCCCGGGGGGAAGCAAGCACCTGGCCTGAAAGCTTTTTTTTTTTTCCTTCCCCTCCACAGGAAGCCACCGTTTATTTGCTTGATGTGTAATGGCAAGGGTACTGACGTGCTGCCTTATGCAACTCCTGGAAAAATGAACAAATGAAGGGGTTTTATAGAAATGTAGGTCTTGAAGGAACCTTTAGGGGTCATTTAATCTCTCCCCCTACCTTGCAGCGGGATTAGGTATATCCAAGCTGCTCCTGAGAGGGAGGGCTTTATGAATAATTACAGTTGTACTTTTAAAAGTTCCCCCAGGCTATCTCCCTGTGACCTCCTTCACAGGTACACTTCCCTCATTTTTTCTAATTAGTCTTTCATCACTTATGTTTGGGTATGTTTCATGAAAATAACAAAATGTTGGTAATATGAGGTCTTGTCATAGAAATCTGCGCTAATTCTCTGCCAAACAAGTGGTTTACACCTGAAGGATATGGCAGAGAGGAAGGTGACATCCAGTGCTCTGGTTGCTTTCTCACTTGCTTCCTGATAGCCAAAACAGTATTTTCTTGTGGGACACGGTCTGGTTAAATCCACAAAGGCCTGGGCTGACGTAGGCATAGCTGTGAACAGAAAATAGCATCTGCATTAGAGGTAGCGGTTTGTTGCTTCAAGCAGCTTTCGTACATCTGGTAATTGGCATTGGATTTCTGCTGTGGGTAGAATCCAGACTTCTTGCAAAAACTTGTTGCATAGGAGAACTACGGGGAGACGGAACTGTCAATAAAAATCCTGTTTAGAAATACTGAACAATGAATGGTTTGGGGATATGTTAAATGTCTTGTGGGAGAAGTTTAGAAAACTCTTTATAATGATAATTTGGTTAGTTTTCTCTTCTCGGTATGCAGATCTGCAGTATCAGACAAAATTTGGTGGAGGCAGGAGGAAGGCCCTGTGCTCTGCTCATTTGCTAGTTGAACATAAATTATATATTACTAAAACCTAGTAGCATGAAATATTTTTGAAGAGCATTATAAATAATAGAAACTTTGAAGTAAACAGTACAAATTTGAATTTCTAATCACTTTGATAATGTAACTTGATGTACACAAATTGTAGTTAAGTATCTGATTTTCCCTTTAGATTCATGCAATTACATGTGCATTTCTCCTTGTTCCTTGATGAACCCATTCCAATCATTTTGAAGTCAGCGACCAGAAAATACTTTTAAATGTATTTCTTTTAAGTGTCATGCATATTATCCTGCCATTCTTGTATCTTCATCTTGTATCGGATCAGATAGTTTTCTGGGAGGGAAGCAAGCGAAAAAGAACATGATAGTTCCTATATTTGAAAACGGAACCCAGTCAGTGTTCTGCTGTAATCTCTCCAGCTCTAGGTAGAATCCAATACATACCATCCTTCTAACAACAGGGGATGCATGTATTCAGGACTTATTTCAGGTTATTAATAAAATAAAAAGAAAAGTGAAGCAGTAATCTATAAGCAGAGATTCTTCTCTGAAAGCACTGAGTAGAGACATCTACATGCTTTACCATTTTACTAATCCATCAGTAAATGTACAGAGACATGTTTAGGCATGCGTATGTTATGTAAAGAAAGGGGAAAACAGATTTTAATAAGTAAAAGGCGTGATAACCTAGTCAATTATGCAGCTTTTCCAAAGTAGGATTTATCTAAAATAATTAACCTTTTCTGAAGTTTTGTGAAGTTACTCTGAGTTTGTATGGGAACTAAAATAGGCTTCACTAAAATTCTTCAGCTGGTTTAAAAGTCAACTGTTAAAATTATTCAGGGGTGGTTAATCCATTTTAAGTTCATACTTCATATGAAAACTTTGTGCAAAGACAAGCAGTGTGAAAGCATAAGTATATATGGGCAATGTTAATGTGCTTTTCTAATTTCTTCACAGTTGAAATACAAAGTTTCTACTGACCAACTAATTCCTTTAGTTGAATTATATTTCATCTGCTGGGATTTCCTTAATTTCATTTGGATGTAAGATCTTCTTTCGTTCTTGTCTTACGTTGTCACCTAACGTTTTTGGGTCTCAGAATTGTGAAACTTCCCCTATTGGAAGGGACCTCTTAAGAGCATCTATTCCACCCCACCCTAGAGCAGGTTGCCCAGGACAGTGTCCCGTCAGGTTTTGAGTATTTCCATGGCAGGACACTCTGCAGCCCCGCAGGGTAACCTGTGCCAGTGTGTAAAGACCCTCACGGTAAAAGTGTTTCAGCTTCTATTAAGATTTTCCTTGTCTTACGTTTTATGCTGTTGGGTAGGGTTATATCTTTTGAAGACTACCTTAGCAGGCATTTGGATAGAAATGTTATGTAAATGTCTTTAAAAAAGACACTAGTGAGAGGGTGTTAGCTTTTAATCCAGCAACTGGACAAAATTGCCTACTTTTTTTTTCCTTCTGAGAATGTGTCTGTGAATGTAATAAACTGCATTTCCAAAACAGACTTCCCAACTGAAATCTAGTTTAATAGTTTAACAGTGTACCAGAACTAAAGATAAGCCTTGAGTATTTGTTTAGGTATTAGCCTTTTGGGTATTTTTTTTCCAAAGAAAAAAACCAACCCATTTATCAAATGAATTAGGCTGAAAGTTTTAATTGGTTCTAGGGAACACTAAACAGGGTTATAGAAATAGAGATGTATATAGCCAACAGTTATCTAGCACCTGAATAAAATATGCCAAGTTTCTTTTCTACTTCTCCACACCTCCTTGGACTGTTATATTCGCTGTCATATAAACTGCACTTCTGAAACAAAGTCTCTTTGCTGGGAACTGGAGTCCGTTGATGATACAGAGTCCATTGGCTAAATATATGGAAGCCACCTCTGGCTAATGAAGCTCCTGAGTCTTAGTGGAAGTGTTGTGCATGCTAGCTTTGCTCTAACCACAGGTGTTCCAGGCATCTACTTTTGGCTGTTGTCTCTTTTCTGCTACAGGATCCTGGAGTAGCTGACCCTTTTTTCTTATCTGGGATGGTGGCATTTATGTTCAAACCTAGGTTCTTTTTCTTCTTCATGTTTCTTCTGTCTTTTAAGGTAACACTTCCCACCAAGTAAAGGTGCCGACAGAGCCAAATATGGTATTTTGATGTTTCCTTTTTTTTTTTCTCCATTCTTTTCTAAAGCTAAGATTCTGCTGGTAAGTCTTGATCTCGGCAGCTGATATTTGCAGTATTTGGTATTTTCTTTAATACTCCTAAAAACATTGTGGGAGCTTGAATCATAATCGAGATCTTGGAGGCAGGCCTGTTAGAAGCGCAACAATTTTGTTGCAGTCACTCTGCAAAAACTGATGTTGTCTTGTAATTCTGTGATGGAATTCACAAAAATGAGAAAGCCAAATTAAGAAAATAGTCCAAAGCTCCCAAAGTCTATTAAGGAGACTTGTATAAAGCTGAGAAAGTAAAAAATAAATCTAAAGCATGTTTGCCTCTGTATTATACTGTTTTGGGAAAGTTATTGTTGTGTCTGCAGTAGAGCATTGTATAATTATTTTGATAATCACTTAATAAATGACTTTTAATTTCAGTGCTCCCCTTCTTCTAATTTTACTTGAGAATTACTTGAGTAATTGAGTAATTTTCCCGGAAACAACTGCAAGGGAAACATGGATTATTGTTTCTTATTTTTTGTTTCCTTTGGGACCTTGTTGTTCCATTTCTGTGACTGGCTCAACATTGTTGGGGAGCAGTGGAAAGGCAAAGGTCCAACAGTAAGTTATGACACATCTCGTCTCTGTTACTTTCTTTAACTGCTGCATTCTATTTTAGGGTTTTATGCTGCTGCCTACCACCTAAATATCTCAAGACCCTTGCATGGAAAATCTTCAACACCTATGTTCTTATTACTCCTGGAGTTTTTGGCTCTGCTTGGTGTTTAAAAGATCTGGTGTCTGTTTTACCCCCGTCTCATTTTCTCCTGTGATTCTGTATTTTTTGGGGGCAGATGGAGGTGCTGTTTTTGCAAGCATAGTTGCTCCTGGTAAAGGAAATCAGGGTGGTTTGTTGCTATTTTTTTCTGAGGGGAATGATTTGCTGTATCTCTGGAAGCTCATTCTGTGAGTGGAGTTTCTGGGCCAAGAGTATTTTTCTTCAGCTTTCATGTGCCTTCTCTTTAACCTTGTGTATTTCTTTAAACCACCTGGTGACTCTATATTTTAAGAATTGATTTATAGCATATTTTGTGGTTGGTTTCTTGCAGTCCTTTTTTTTTTTTTTTTTTTGTAAAAGATATTTCATTTGGTGCAAAATAATGCACATTCCTAAAACAGAAGGTATGTGGTGTCCTAGCTCTCAGTCTCTTAACTGCTGAACTACAGACATTTTCATGCTCCCTATTCTATAACTAAAAAGGCAGGAAAAGTTTTTTAAAGTATCCTGTGGTGGGAAACTTCATCAAATCCTCGCTTTGAACAAGACACTGTGATTTGAGACTGCATTTTCCACATCCAGTTGAGTGTCTTATGTTGCTGGGAATGGGGAGAGTTGGAAGAAGCAAGCACATGTACTCTGTTTTTACTTATGCTGTTGGTGATATTCACAAAAGGACTTTTGTTTGATTAGCTTC